ACTATAAGGCTGTCTTAATTGAAATTGTTTTACTATTTTGTGTAAAAGATTGAAATTCACAGATATGTAATTTTCTTAATTTTCCTTTCATACAGGACTCAATAAGTAAACAATTGAAATGTACTAATCAATAGCCATAATAAGACCTTACAACGTAATGTTTGAACATTTGAAGTGAAAATGGATGATGGGTAGCAGTGAAATTCAAGATGCGCGTTTCGTTTTATTTGGGACTCGTCAGATGGATGTACCTACATCCCAATGTTCACTCTGGGACTTGGACCCAGTACCTTTCACTTCAAACGCCATCGTTTTATCTACTTAGTTACACAGTCCAGATAGTAACTCACTTGTACTATGGGGTGAATTTTAATTTCCACCAACTGATGAGCCCTGGAACATCAATGGAAAGATGCAAACAACATATATATACGAATTAAGACCAGTTCAGAATAATATAAAAATACATGTAATATAGTTCAGACGACACCATGTCTTTTGATACTTTAAGCGTAAAGAAGTATCTTAAATACCTTAAAAGGATTCATTATACATTAAATTGCAAAAACACAAGAGATTATTGCCTCAAACCTAGTTAAGTGTTATTTTTTTATACGAAAGAATATCTTCATTAGTTTAAGCATTATCACTGGTGCAGCTTCAAAAGAAAGTAAGTATATGCTTAATTAGTAGGTAGTATTTGTCACGAACTGGTTACAGTTGTGATACCATAGAAAACTAGGGGGCAATGGGCACTTTTGTCATTCTAGTATATAACTTCTTATCAATCCATATGTACATGAACAAACTAATGCTCGAACTCAGGGGTTTCAAATCTCACAGAAAGCGCTCAGACATTAGCAGTTTAACTATCATCCAGTACTTTTGTTAACAATTGTTTCATTCCTGATAAGAATGAACGCCCTTGATCAATGCCTTCTACAAGTACTTCATAGCACATCTCGAATTAAGTCACTGTTCCGTACACGAACTGAATTTTTATTGAGAGATTTTGTAAAGACAAGATGGATCTGTAAGTGATATTCTTTATTAATGGATCTTGTTGTGTGTATCAGTAAAAACTATACAGCACTGAACAGCTGTTACATCCAATCTAATCTTCACAAAACTTCATCAAAAATATGCATTTAATTTATTCACTTATGCATAAAAATATTAAGCAATTTTAGTAAAAAACATCAGCACTGTTGTTACATAACAACTAAGCCCAACTAGTAGCCTTATCAAAAATATTCATGCCTTGATAATTTAATTAGTTACAAGTCAATAATCCGCTGTTTTGATGACCTGCAGTTGTTTGTCGGTGTTTTTTTTCAGTAACGTTTATTTTATTAACAATAACTTCTGTAAACATTCATCAACTCTTAACAGTTTTTCACTTAATTACAATAATTTATTCATTAGTAAATTTTAAATTCATATCAGAAGTGCTTTTGTGGATCATGAGTCAATTGAAGCTAGATCACCATGGGAAACATGAAAGCACTGGACGGCCGTTTCTTACTATTATGGGTTGGAATCTCTCGAGGCGGCATCGTGGATGGGCACTGCTGAGGAGTCATACAATAAGACGAAACGGTCGTCCAGTGCTTCCAGGTTTTCCATGATGGCCTAGCTTCAACTGACTCATGATCTCAACTATTATAATTACTACAATCTCCACAAAGCCCCTTCTGATACTAACCATCATCGTATGCTCACTAGTGACTCGCTTCAACAGGTATTTCTTAGAGTTCTAGTGATAAGTAGTGACCAGTGGAGTTCAATCGGGTCCGTTGTGAGATAGTAACTCATTGAAGACAATGGTGGACAGTGGCGCGATTTCGCGGATTGGTTGAAGTTAGACATTGACACCGTTGGATACTGGCCGGTTCAGTGGTCTAGAGCTTAAGCGTTCACCTGTGAGACCGATAGGTTCTGGGTTGGAATCTCGCGAGTTGGGATCGTGGATACGCACTGCTTAGGAGTCCCACAGTAATACGAAACGTCTGTTCAGTGCTTTGATGTTTTCCATGTTGATCTAACTTCAAAAGACTCAAGATCTCAACCACTGAAATCTTAAATTGGAGATTTATAGTCATCATAGTTGGTTAGTCTTATTATAAACATTATCATTCAAAGATCTTTAAGGGCCCTATACATTTTAATCATAAAAGTATTACCATTAACAATTTACATGTGTTCCTTTTAATTGATCACATCATTGATTTATTTCACTTCCACTTAATCAATCATTTACTCCCTCGTTCATTCTCTCAATGTCTGTTGCTTATATCTCATAACTGTATACATTGAACTTGTATAATTGTGTAGAATAATGATAGATAATTAATTATTCTTTATCTGCTAAACAGAATTGTTATGTATGTTTCACACGCACACAAAAGAAGACATTTATAGCATAGTGATAAAAATTATTACGTCACCAGTGAGAAATTTAGACTAGACGAAAAGAAAAATCACTTTATCCAACTATTGATTGTCTGTTGATTTTTGTTTTATAACAGTTTTCTATTTTTTCATCAAGGTAACTTGATTCATATGTAGTAATGCATTATGGTTTTATGTAATTTATTTATTTATTTATTTGGACACATGAATATTGGTACAAGAGAGCGCCAATATATATGCGCCACACAAAACAATGAAAATTCTAGAGGAATACAAAGAAAGAAAGAAAAAGCTAAGGAGCGCAACAAAAAAAAGAGAGAACAATAACGAAGAGATTGGTGTAAGGTAATGTGCTAGTAATCAGGGAACCTAAAGGTACAATCGGAAGAAATCTTTCAGGTAAGGGAGACACAATCACTTTTTATGAAGAAAGTAAAAGAAGGTTACAGCAGGATCGCCACTGGCTTCTAATCTGAGCCATATCTCATAACGTCTCTAGCCACTGTGTAGCACCATCTCTCAGACCCCAACCAGGGAGTCGCGAAGGACCAACACAAGCCAGTCCTTTGGAGCTTTCTTTCATGCCACGACACCATGTCATGCACTGACAACCTCTCCGTTTCTTCCAACCAGTCCCACAGTCGGCAAATAATGCACGATGTGGAATTCTCTGGGACGACATTCGGAGAACATGTCCAAGCCACCGAAGTCGGTGTTTCAAGATGGTGATACCAATTGAATTATCATCTCTGTACCCGAACACACGATGCCGAACCTCTGCATTACCGACATGGTGTTGCCACTGGATGTCAGCAAACCTTCGGAGACAACGATGATCGAACACAGAGAGTCGTCTAACATCCTCATCTCGGACAGGCCAGGTTTCACAAGCATAGAGCAAAACTGCTCTCACCGACGCGTTGTAGATCCGACCTTTTACAGCCAGACTAACATCACGAAGGCGCCAAAGGTGGCCCAGATTGGCAGGAGCTGCTCCGGCTTTCACTATACGTGCATTGATCTCATCACTCACACCCCCACCAGCACTTATGCAGCTACCTAGATACACGAACTTCTCGACTGCTTCTATCTGCTCACCATGCAGGGTGAGTACAGGATTACAATCGTGCCAGTCTTGTAGAAGTACTTTGCACTTCGAAGGTGCAAAGCACGTACCATACCTACGGACACTGATTGCCAACTGATTAAGTGCGGATTGCATGGCTTGGGCATCATCGCACAGTAAAACAATATCGTCCGCATACTCAAGGTCGAGGAGTCTTTCTCCAGGCAACAGATCCACACCACCATTACTTACATTCATCAGAGCTGTTTCCAGAATGTCATCGATGGCAAAGTTGAAGAGGAATGCTGAGATTGAGCAACCCTGTCTAACCCCACTACTCGAATGGAACGATGGAGAGAGGTGGTTGTATGCCCTCACTCTGCCTGAGGTGTTTTTATATAGGGCTTTTAGGATGTTAATAAACTTCTCAGGCACACCCTTCTTCAATAGACAATCCCAGAGAACAGTCCTGTCCAACGAATCGAAGGCAGCCCTGATGTCAAGAAACACTAGAAAAAACAACCCAGTATGCATAGAATAATTGTATTTGGTGTTAATAAAAGAAAAGCATTGAAAGGATTATAGTAAAACAACAACGAATAAAATATAATACAGCTTTGAACAGGTTAAATGGTGGTTGGAGGTAGTCGACAGGAAACCCTGGACCCCAGTCTCGTGCTACTTGGCACTCGTCAGAAAGGTGTACCTGTAATCTTGAGGGAACCGGTGCTTCCGGGCGGATTCGACCCCGTGTCACTCAGCTTCACAGACAGAGACGTTACCACTGGGCTATCCAGGGCGCGACCAGGTAGATTGTAGGTTAGAATCCTGCTCCGTCTATTTTATTCTCGGCAATTAGATAATAATAACATTATTAATTATACTAGAACTCATATTCAAAAAGTATGACCTAAAGCTAAATATGTAGAGTAATTGTGAACAAGCGTGAAAGAAGAGTTCGCGTAAATACATAGTTAAGATCCATGTAATTACCTCAGGCTCACAATCGACCATAACGAAGATATATTAAATGTTGACCTTTCTCTAAACTTTAAGTTCCGGTATCCTTACACAAATACCCTTCAACTTCTTTTTCTAAATCATATTTTCAACACTTGGTCCTCCTCACTACAATTGCTACTAAATTATTTCAATTCTTTTCCTATTTATCTCATTCACTTCATCTTGTTGTACCGATGTAACATAGAGACTTGAGTCAATGATATATATGCATGTCATGCTGTAAGTTGATTATAAGTGACTGAAATAAACTTATTTTTAGTAGAATCAGTAGCACAAAAATTCTCCATTTAAGGAGGGTTAAAAGAAATACGAAAACTATTATATGGCAAAAAAGACCAAACGATGATTGTAAAAGAAGTAAATGATAATGAATAAACTAAGATGTAGGTAATGAAAGATTATTACTTTGACATAGGAAATAATAAATGGTAAAAAAACATGAAATGGAACAGAATTAAACAATGTTAAGATTTGAAGAAGCTGAATTTCGCATGTTACAGTTAATAAGATGATACTAATTTGTAAATTCTGAAGGTAAACGCTGAGTTCCTACTACGCTTACTATCATAAATATCTTGTTATATGAATGTAAAGAACATGCTTAGGTAACTGACCTCAAGATGTACAAATCGGTTTGTTTGAATTCGATACCATATGAGCTAAATCCTATTTCAGTTAATACACATAAAATAGAGAGAGAAAATGAATAAGAGAAGAATAGCGAAAAGTTTCTTTTCAATGAAATCGTTTTCTTAAATTTTACAATTTTATTTATGTGTACTTTTGTTTGTGGTGGTTTAAGCACCACCAACATCACTAAACAAGCTAATCAAATATGGTCGAAGTATAAGAGTCTATAAAAATAGTGAGATATTACATGATTGAATAGTGATAGTCATAAATAATCGATAATTTTGAAGCACTAAATATAATAATCTACAAAAAAAGAGATGGGTATTATTTCATTTAACTAAAGTAATTGAAATGATAAGAATTCACTAGTTAAAACTTGATATTTATATACAAAAGAGTTATGTTTAATCACTTATTATTCAGTGGTCATAGTACCTGTTTGAATATTTACAAATTATCAGTATTGGATTGTGGAGATTATTGAGTTATTGATTAAGAGCATGAAACGATTGATGTTAGACCAACATTGAAGACCTGGAAGCACTAGACGGCCAGTTCGTTCTATTGTGTGACTCCTCAGCAGTGCGCATCCACGATTCCAGTCATGGGATTCGAACCCAGGGCCTTCGGTCTTGCGCGCAAATGCTTAATCTCTAAACCACTGAGTTGGCATCCAACGGTGTTAATTTTTAACTTCAACCAATCCACGAAATTCACGCTACCATCTTCCATTGTACTAAGGTAGATACCTGTCTCTAACCGACACGGATTAGCTCTACTGGTCAGGTTTGTAAGTTCCAATTAATTATTCAATTCTTCGCCTTTTTTTACTTTTCCATGAAGTAGAAAGCTGTCTCTTACACTATTATTAGAATTTCTCATTACAACTAAAAATCTATTGCATAACATAAAGCTTTGATAATTCTTTAAAATTATTTTACAGAATAAAATAACACCTTTCTATTTTGTAGATTATTGTATTTATTACTTCAAAATGTTTCACTTTATTTAACAAGTTTATTTAATTATGTAACACTCGCCGAGTCCTAAATAGAACTAAGCGCGCGTCAAACTGGATTCCACTGCTAGTCAGCATCTATTTCTGCTTACAATGCTTATGATTTAAGGTAATATCGAGACAATCCGCACAGGATACACATATGCCAATAAGAGACTGATCAATTACAGTCCTACATACCAATGGGAAGATTTAAACAACTAATGCAAAAAGATTTACAAGTACCTTAACTATTCTAGTAATGATAAACAGTCCATTTTTAATCCTATAATAATTATGAAAAATATAGTTACACAATATTTCATGGTTAAACACTAAGCACCAGTTGAACATAAAGCAGGTTTAATTTCTAATGGTTTAAATTGATCCGTAGTCGGTACTTTGGCTGAATTTCAATCAGTCTTAGTTGTTATATGTGCATCCTGTGCGGATTGTTTTGATATAATCATTATGGTACAAATTTATATAGAACAGACGAACTTTGACCATCGATGGCATCTAGGACGTGTGTTTCATTCTATTTGGAACTCATCAGCTTGGTTGACCAAAATTCGGTAGAAATATCTACAATAGGATAATCCAAACTATCATAAATTAAATTAGGTTCACACCCGTTTCGCAAGTGAGAGGCTCTTTAGACCCAGTGGTTTAGGTGAGTAATGCGTTGGCGTTCGGAGTGGAAGGTAATGGGTTCAAATCCCATAGCGGATATCAACTCCGGGGTCCACATAATTCCAGTTGAAGAGTCGCAAGTAGGGTGAAACGTGAATCCCGTACTCCAGTCCTAGTCATATTCCATCTATTTTATATCCAAGATCAGTTATTTTTTCATATTTTGAGTGTTTAAAAGTTCTGTTGACAAACACATCTACTGAACCGTCATGAATAAAACGGTTTTTAATTACTATGAATAATAATGACTATTATTATTCAGATCATGAACCGAACAGTGTTGGACAATCATTGAAAACCTGGAAGCACTGGACAGTCGTTCTTCATAATATTGAACTTCTCATCAGTTCGCATCCATGATCACGCAAGTGGAAATCAAACACATCACCTTCGGCCACGCTCACGAACACTTAACCTCTAAACCACTGAGTTGGCATCCAATGGTATTGATGTTTAAAATCACTCAATCCACGATATTACGCGAACATCCTTAATGGTGGTCCAACACTGATTGGTTCATGATCTCAATAAAAACTCAACAATCTCCACAATCTTATACTGATATTAATAATAATTATTATTATTCCTGACCGTTGTCGCTACCTTGACGTGGTGGTCGGGTTTACCTATCGTGATGAACCAATCGAGCTATACTGGCTGGAACAATCGTTCCTCAAGGTTTTACTATGCCAGACAGGTCTGTAAGACTAAAAGCAGCGAACTCAACGTCCGAAGGCGAAGTCGTACTGTTAACTGTACAGAGTTCTGACGGTAGTAAGGTGTTTCATTCAGACAACCAGCAAAACAGCGATGTTGCCTTCTCACAAGGAGGGGCAGGGTTAGAAAATGTCGACCTTAAGAATGCACACCTCGCCTTATCCTACGGATATCCGTCTCCGGCAGTAAGGTTTTAGGAAGTACAGAGCTAACACGAAAATTACTCACAAAAAGATCGTGTGTGGCCGACCTCAAGCAGTTGTCTCCTGTCCACTGCTGTCACTCTCTCACGTCACTAAGACCACCCCTAACCCAATCTCCTCTCCAGGTACTTCCAAAAGAATCCTTCCACGGTGTGGGCAACCGGGAAGTGATAACCGCCCTCATACTTCTAACAGCACTCAAGACCACTGTGTTCATAATCAACCTCCCTCTTCAATTACTATTATTCCTCCTAACTGACTGACTGATTATTATTAATATTGCTCCTATTATCATTATAAAGTTATCTGTTCTGTGTTTTTTTACTGATTAAATGGAATTTCTTAGAACTGATAAAAACCATGTTGCAATTGTTATAGACAACTGATATTTGTAAATCTACTTTATCACTTCATATAGAGGCTTTCTGTTTTATTCATTAAAACATATTTGACTACTGTTCTGTAAAATAGTTTCAACGGTTTCAGTCTACCTAGAAAAATATTTTTTTTTAAATTTCAGTTTGTAAAAAAACAAAATATCATAATGGATAACTATACTGAAAAGTTGATCAATATTATATAGATATTGTAAGAGATCAATCTTATCTTTTTATCTTACAAGAATCTTACTGGAATAAGGCCATGAATAATGAGAAGGAATAAAGTATCATCTTAATTATCATTATAACAATAAATGTTATACATATATTGAATATCCAGTTGACCATTCATAGATTGAATAGTTTAGTTAAATATCACCTACTTCAGTTTGGGCACCCGGGCAATATCCCAATCCTCACATAAATCGAATGATTTATGCGATGCATATCTGTTTAGTGCCTCCTTGTACCAATATTTATGTGTTTAAATGAATAAATTCAAGGAACATTACGATTTCAAAGAAGTTATTCAATAGGAAATCATCTCTCGTTTCGAGTACTTACAATGAAGAGTAATTTAAGCAATATAGCTGAATAGCCAGGTATTGATTTAATTTTATTGAGTAACAGTTAAAAATACTACTCATTAACTAGGCAAATAGATTTATATGAAATAATATTCAAGTGTGAAACACAATGAATAAAATCCAAACACTTAATGCCTATATTTAAAAATATCTTATATTAACTTTTAAGCATACAATATCTAATAGAATAGACAACAGTATCCTGACTTTATCAGTATATGGTTGATTGTGTAACTAAATAACATTAGGGTGGAAAAAAGATCTAATTTAACCTAGGAAGGTCAATATGTTATTTCTGCTGAATAATCAATGGAGAAAACTAAAAAAACCGTTCATTTTTTAACTTGACAATGTATGATAAAGATGGGGAAACCATATCGTCATAAGATTTTGTTTACATAAGTGAGTTTTTTTATTTTTTTATTTGTTAACCAGAACCGAAATGTAATGTAAGCGATAAAAATATGACTTATTTGCCAAGTATATAGCATTATGTACATTGTTTCAGAGTGTAAAACTCTAAATGGAAATGTTATTAATATTACCTAAATCGAAAGAGGTAGAGGAGCGTTCAAAGCTTCAATCTGCTAGGTTGAAGTCGAGTATTTTGATTCGTAAGCTTTTTTTTACTAATCGACTATTAACGAGAAGTGAAATATTTATTACTATCATAAACTTAAATACTTAAATCACTAACCACAAGAAATATGTTCACGTTGTTATATTGGGCCGGCATCCAACAGTGTTAATGTCTACCTTCAACCAATCAACGAAATTCCACGACCATCTTCCACTATATATACATATATATAGTGGTCTAACATTGATCCATTCATGATCTCAATCAAAAAGTCAACAATCACCACAACCCCATAGTGGTAATTACCATGTGCTCATTAGTGACTAGATTCCAGAGGTGATTCTTGGAGTTCTAGTGAGAAGCCGTGATCAGTAGAGCTAATCCATGTCGAGCAGGGATAGGTATCTACCTCAGACAATGGAATATCGTGGAATTTCAAGGACTGGTTGAAGGTAGACATTAGTACGGTTGGATGCCTACCCAATCGTCCACAGATTAGGCATTCGCGCGCGAGAAAGAAGGTCCAAAGAAGTCTCTTATTAAAACGAAACGGCCGTCCAATGCTTCTAGGTTTTTAATGGTGGTTTAACACTGATTGATTCATGGTCTCAATAATAATAATCATTATTTTTCAAAGTAATTATTAATTGTTTTATTCATAACGGTTTAGTAGGCGTGCTTTTTCAACAGAAATTTTAAACGCATTCACAATAAATAGGTCAGAATATATGATTTTCCCCATGAACTAAAGTTACTTGAAGAAGTACTTGAAACTATTTGGCACTGAATACCTTTTTCGCATCACTATATGGCTCCTCATCACCGTGTACAAAGCTTTGTGGAGAGAAAAATGAGGTAGATTTATAGTATGTGATA